GGTTCCTAAGCCTAAAAAGGTTAAGATAGGACCAAAGATTGTTGATTGTGTCTTTATTGGATATGCTCGAATAGCAATGCATATCGTTTTCTTGTTCACAAGTCGAGATCCCATATACATGTTAATACGATCATTGAATCAAGGGACGCTTCGTTCTTTGAAAACATATTTCCGTATAACATAGTATATAAGCCAATTGATAATAATAAGATGTCTCGAGATACTATATCTAGAAATGATCCAATTGAGGATGAACCTAGACGTAGTAAAAGACAAAGGACTTCCACGTCTTTTGGACCTGATTTCTTAACGTATCTGTTAGAGAATGAGCCTCGGACAGTCAAAGAAGCTGTGACTTCGCCAGAAGCCCCGTTCTGGAAAGAAGCTATCAATAGTGAAGTTGAATCCATCTTGTCAAACCATACATGGGAATTGGTTGACCTTCCTTCTGGTAATAAACCACTACAATGTAAGTGGATTTTCAAGAGGAAAATGAAAGCGGATGGTACTATTGATAAATATAAGGCTAAGCTTGTAGTAAAAGGATACAAGCAACGAGAAGGTCTTGATTATTTTGATACTTATTCACCTGTTACTAGAATTACATCTATAAGGATGCTAATTGCCATAGCATCGGTGTATAAGCTTGAAATCCATCAAATGGATGTTAAGACGGCCTTCTTAAATGGGGATTTGGAAGAAGAAATATATTTGGAACAACCCGAAGGGTTCATTGTTCCAAGACAAGATAGTCACTTTATGGATTGAAACAAGCACCGAAACAATGGCATGCTAAATTCGACCAAGTCATGTTGTCGAATGGTTTCAAGATCAATGAGTGTGATAAATGTGTATATGTTAAGAACACTCATAATGGTTTTGCCATTTTGTGCTTATATGTAGATGACATGCTTACAATGGGCAGCGATAGTGAGGTTGTTAAGGCGACCAAACGCATGCTCACAAGTAAATTTGATATGAAAGATATGGGGGTTGCAGATGTTATTTTAGAAGTTAAAATCCATAAAACATATGGAGGATTAGCTCTATCACAATCTCATTATATCGAGACGATTCTTGGAAAGTACAAGAATTTAGATATTGTACCAGTAAAGACTCCGATAGATGTTAATTTACATCTTCAAAGAATACTGGTGAAAGTAAGGCTCAAAATGAGTATGCTAGTATACTAGGCGAGTTTAATGTATGTCATGAACTGTACTAGGCCGGACATAGCTTGTGCGGTTAGCAAGCTAAGTCGATTTAGTTAGTCCAAATGAAAATCATTGGAAAGCTATGAAACGTTTATTGGGCTACTTAAAGCATACTCAAGATTATGCTTTGCATTTACAGAATATCCGCGGTACTTGAAGGATCTTGTGATGCAAATTGGATAACCGCACTAAAGACACAAAATCGACAAGTGGATATGTATTCATACTTGGGGAGCGGCAAGTGTCTTGGAAATCATCCAAACAAACTTGTATTGCTAGATCCACTATGGAATCGAATTTATTGCTTTGGATAAAGCCGGTGAAGAAGCAGTGGCTTCGAAATTTCTTGGAAGATATTCCTAATTGGCCTAAACCAAGGCCCGCTATTTGTATACATTGTGACAGTCAAGCGGCAATAGGAAGGACAAGGAATGTCATGTATAACGGTAAGTCTCGACACATACGTCGAAGACATGACACGATAAGACAACTTCTTTCTAGTGGAATTATCACCGTTGACTATGTGAAGTCAAAAGATAATATTGCGGATCCATTGACAAAAGGCCTAACTAAAGAGATGGTTGCAAAAACATCAAGGGGAATGGGTTTAAGGCCTATAAACAAGTCATCATAGCGGAAACCCTACCTAGTTGACTGGAGATCCCAAGATCTAGGTTCAAAGGGACAACTAAGTTATGAAGACAGTGTAGAGTCTGTCAAATTTTTACTCATTCCTGGATGAAGACAAGTACTAATATGTGAAGGTTAAGCAAAGGCTTTTAATGATTCCGAATTGAGTATGTGATATACTATATGTTCGAAATCACCTATGTGAGTGTGAAGTGAGGGCCGCTTCGTGAGAATTGAAAAGGCCGAATTCTCTAAAACACTCATGAGACCAAGGCGTGTTCATGGCCAAAACGAACACAACGGTGAGAACCAATTTTGTTCGAGAAACAATTGTGTGATTTCTATTGTCTAGGCTTACACCAAAGGTCGACAGTTCAAAGACATCAAGTCTATCGATTGACCGAGTAAGTCCGATAGGTTTCACTAAGTAAAGTTCAAGGTCTCGACTACTTATCCCGATGCAACGTTTTCTCATGGAATAATCGCACATTGCATCTCATGCATACACGAAGAGTCGTGATATCTGAACTTCTCATTCATGTGGGGGATTGTTGGGATTTTGGCACCAAAATCCCATAGAATTGAATGAGAAGTGTGTGGGTGAAAGTGTCCCACATAGGGTAGAGAGAGATGGGAGATGGGTTCAAATAGTTGAGCCTCACAAATGGGTTTGGGCCCAAGGGATACCCCACTTTTGTGGAAGAGAGAGGACCTACGTCAAGCTAGGTCGGTCCACCCCCGCGCGTGCGCCGCCGCCGCCGTCCGTCGGCCGGCTCGGTTCCGTTCCGGTCCACTCTCCATCGGTTTTTATTTTTCCGAACAGACACGTTGTTTAGAATTTATTTATTTATTTATTTTTTGGACAAATAAACATGTCTTTGTGAGGTTCGGTTCGCCGAACGGAAAACCGAAGCCCTTCGCGATTGTTCACGAATCAAACCGGTTCAAGTGAACCTTCGCTACTGTTCACGAAAACTCGCAACTCTTCATTTTTCGCCACTTGAATAAGGACCGAGCAGTTTAGTTCGAAAAAAAAATATCACTTCGTGGCATTCATTTTTTCCCGACGCACTCTACGCATATTCACTTCATCATTGTCATTTGGTGCGATCGTTACGCAAAATTGCGTTCGTTGGAGTCTTCCGAATACGTACCGCTCGGAGAAACGAGATCCGTTCTATCATGGGAGACGATTGTCCAATATCCTCGGGTGCGATTGAGGGGCCAAATTGTCTTAAGGACACGACGTTAATTCGTTGGGCTCGGATCAACATTCTGCTTATTTGGTTGTACTGCTTTCAGGTTAGTTTTCGTAGCGTTTGATTTTAATTTCTGATATACGAACTTAGCCGAACAACATGAACTTTGGTAGAATTACGCTTTTCATTAGACGGTAGCTATAAATCTCCACGCATATTTCCTCGGCTTTGGATCTTATTATAAGAAATCTTTTGTTTATTAATGTTTAGAACGTGAAAAAGGAAATTAAAATTGGACTTACCAATACCACTCTCTCCATCTCATAATATCAAATTTTCCAACATAATATTCAATTAGCAACTATTTAGAGTGCGTTTGCTAACCTTTCCTATTTTCGAGAATAATTTTTTATTTTTATTTCATAAACGAGTTTCTTGAAAAGAAAATTGCGTTCGGTAACTGCATAAAATTTTTATTCTTTTGGTTACTCGGTAAGCTAAGGCTGCGCATGACAACTTGCCAAACAGTGTTTGATTCTGTTCTTTTGTTCTCAGAATCAGTTTGGGAACAGAAATGCGTTTGTTTAATTTTTTGATTCTGGGCACAATTTTATCAAAAATTGTTCCCATAATCAGTTTTGGAGCATAATCAAGAATAAAAAAAAAGTAGCTTCTTGATTCTGGGAACAATTTTGAGAATCAATTTTTTTTTCTTCTTCATTTTCTTAGTTTTTAATTTAGCTTCTAATGTCCGGCCCGAGGACCGCCTCACCGGATCTGACGAGAATAAAATATTTTAATAAAAAATATTTTACCGGCCATGGCCGGCGACCAGGCCATGGCCATAAAAAAGAAAAAAATATATTTTTAATAAAAATATTTTAATAAAAAAAATATTTTACCTGCCATGGCCGGTGACGAGGCCATGGCAAAAAAAAAAAATATATATTTTTAATAAAAATATTTTAATAAAAAATATTATTAATAAAAAAATATTTTACGGCCATGGCCGCTGACCAGGCCATGGCAAAAAAAAAATGTATATTTTTAATAAAAATATTTTAATAAAAAAAATTATTAATAAAAAAAATATTTTACAGGCCATGACCGGCGATCAGACCATGGCCAAAAAAAATATATATTTTTAATAAAAAATATTATTAATAAAAAAAATATTTTACCGGCCATGGCCGGCGACCAGGCCATGGCCAAAAAAAAATAAAAATATATATTTTTAATAAAAATATTTTAATAAAAAAAAATTTTACCGGCCATGGCCAAAAAAAATAAAAATATATATTTTTAATAAAAATATTTTAATAAAAAAATATTATTAATAAAAAAAAAAATTTTATTGGTCATGGCCGGCGACCAGGCCATGGCAAAAAAAAGAAAAAATACTTTTAATAAAAATATTATTAATAAAAAAATATTTTACCGGTCATGGGACAGGCTATGGCCAAGAAGGAGGAAAAGAAAAAAAGAAAAGAAAAAAGAAAGAAATATTAAAATATTTAAAAATATTATTAATAAAAAGAAATTTTGTGGCGTTCTCAAACGCATTTACTGTTTTTTCTATTCCGGGATGGAATTTTGGGCCATTAACAAACGCCTTAAAATGCTCGAGAATCAATGGCTAGAATAAAAAGAATCATTTCGAGCAGGAATATGTTCCAGGACAATCGTTGTCATGCGCACTAATTAGCATTTATCTCCTTTTGAAGAATCGGGGAACATGAACAGATCAATATTTTAAGGGTAAAAACTGGGTAATAATAATTGAGAGGACAATTCAAAGGAAACTTCATGGCCAAACTATCTACTCTGCCCTCTTCAATTTGCCATTTTCGTTTCAAGAATGTCCTCTAACGCAGCAACAGTAGAAATCAAGTGAACGCTATGTTTCCGATGCATCCATTCTTTTCAAGTGCAAACAATCTAAGAGCCTTTCAAGACATCGGAGTAACCCTTTTCAATTACAGAAAAACCCTTGTACATAGAGAGCATCATCTGCAACTGATCCTCAAGTTCGAATGTACATGCCAGCGCTTCGCATCGACATGAAGCAGAAAAAGAAAAAGAAAGCGAAAAAACGCATGAGATCTAAAAAAGTCCTGCAATGAGATCACCACCATAAGTACGCTCACCTAGATTCCCTGGTACATGAACATTAGACAAACTGTGTCCACAGCTAGCTCCTCTCCAACAAAACTTCCTAAACCAAAGCCATAGCAAGAGAGCATGAAACCGTTTCCTCCATTTCATGCTGCAACCAGAATTGGGGCCCTCTGCTGCATCCTCTAAGTTGCGGAATTAGGTGGGGGTGGTGCTGGAGCGCTCTATTTGACAAAAAGGAAAAAAAGCCGGTTGAAAAAGAGCTACTTTACAGAACAAGTTTATTCAATAGAGTCGCGGCTGAAGAAGTTCAAGTCGTGATGGTAAACGTTGAGCTGCTTCACCCAGGAATGAGCTGCGTTGTGGAGGTGGGTGAACTTGAGATGCTCGAACGTGTCCGGTTTCACCCAGAGGTCGCCTCGCATCTTGTACGTAGCCAACCCAAACGGACTAAGCGGAATCTTGTCAGAACCGACCCCCTTCAGTTTAGTGTCCATGTGAAGAGGATGGCATTGGTCGTCCTCATAAAAATCATCAGTACTATCTGTGAAATCGCAGAAGAAACAGCATGACATCAGTGGTGGACGTCGCACGTTTACTGAATTGACAAGAGTTTCTACCACTATGATTCAGAAAGAAAAGAGAACCATCTTTGTCACTAGAAATGCAAGCAAACAAAAACTCCCATTTTGATTCGAAATGTTTACTAAAGCAACACATTGATACAGGCCTCAATCAGAATTTTGTAAGGACGCTGCTAGTTTAGTGGCCAGTGCATGAGTCTTGGAGGAAACCTGCTATTGTTTTCTTGATACAATAAATGACGATGGAGATCGACTGAAATAGCCCATTACATATTACGCACACTTTTCAGCCAATGACTAACGTTATAAATTTGTCCTTCAGGCAAAGCCGTGGTGAGTCGTGTACCTAGGAACGATGAGGACAATGTGTGATAAGTCAGGAAGCAAGTCTGCAAGTCCTTATTGTTGCTGCTGTTTGGAATATGGTAAATTGGGTACCTGTCGAGAAAAAGCATTCACTTCATTTCCGTTTCGAAATAACAGAAAAGGCTTGAACGACTAAATATTAGTATGAAGAGAACATTCATGATGTCGAACATTCCTTGGTTAATGTAGCATGACGAAAATTGGCCAAGAATATGAAAAGAAATGCCACAAAACTTACCAAGCTACAGCCATCCAGCTCGCTGGAGATATATCCATGCTTCTAAGAGTTGTCAGTGCCTGATGATCTTTTGCTAATTCGGTTATCTGAGTCAGACAGAACCACGGTTTCATTCAATGAACAAGATCTTGCACTGCTAAATTATAACTAACAACTCTTCTATTCATTGACAAGGGATTGGAGGAAGCTCGTATAAGAATGTGTCTTCATTGATGTGACCAGTCAAAGAGGATCACCTTATTCGACAGAGGAATTCTCCAGTTAGGAGAACATGCCTCGAAGTACTCCAAGTAGATGGAGCCAAGCTTATCCCTCATTGACCATGAAACTGGATGGTCCGGGCTCGAATCTTCAGAGATGCTATCCCAAGCCTTGCTCGAATTGTTGCTTAACGACCTTGATAGCTTATCACTCCCACTATCATCACTCCAAGAGTCACTTTCGAATTCCACCGCGACATTTCCCTCCGCTTTGTTCCTACGACCAAATAAAGTAAATTCCAATAAATCAAGTATTATATGTAACTGACATGTTAGTGTGCCTCGGACGAAACAATATAACTGGACGAAATAGGACAAAAATAGGAGAAAAGAAGCAAGGAAAAATGAATGAAATGACTAAAAAAGCAATCGGAAGTACCTGGTGGAAACAATGGACAGGTTAGTGTAAATCTGAATTGCTGAGAGATAGGGCACATAATATTGCTTAACCGTCTGTCCAGTACTTAACGCGACTTTAGTTCTGGCACCAAATGCGCTCCATTCTTCATAGCTATGCCAAAGGTCTTTCAGTTCAAAGTACTCGATCATTTCCTTACCAGCAGGTTGCCATAGATGGTTGATATCATGAATGTGGCTCTGCAGGTATTTCATGTTAACTATGGTAAGGCGATTGTTGATGTCATTAATGCATTTCTCTAGTTTATCAAAATAACAACATTCAGATAAATATGGACAATTGGCCAGACATTTTCAGGATCCCAAGTTAACGAATACGAGTTACCAAGATGACTTTTTGAGTCCACATTGTGACTCTGAGAAAATAATGGCAGCTTCAATTCCCTAAGCCTGTTGGACTGAGGTTTCATTTCAAGTCCTAGAATTCTGAAAGAGTGAAGGGCGAAATGGAAAAGTAACGCACTGGAACAGATTAGTTAAAAGCAAAGGCAGATCTTTCCGTTTTCCACGGGTAGTAGGGTTACCGTAATGATAACATTGGTCTAAGCAAACAATGATCTGGTAAATCGTAATCTCCCCATGCAGTCAACTGGATCACAACTTAACAGTTATAATGGATCCTACATCTGCCTGACAATGGCCTGCAAATCAGCCTCAAACTTTAAAAGATGCTGAGAAGTCGTAAGATTTTCACAGTGTATCCTTGCACCTAAGAAATGCATTCTTTTTCATCTAGGCAGGGATCCTCACCTAATTAGAACGACTAAGATATTCTGTTTCTAGATATGGAATGATTGAATTTCTTAAATGTAAATTCAGAATCTAAAGAATTCGAACATAAAGGAGCAGAGAAAAAGACAGCGCCATGAGTTTATGTCCCACGGGTGTCTAATGCGCATTCAACATATCCGCTCCACGTGCGCGTAGAACCCATGTCATTGTCATCATCCAAGAAGTTGATTCTCACGCAACTTTATTGCACGACGGTATTGAAAATCAATCGGTTACTCATGTAAGACTCGACTCATCGGTTGACCGAAAAGTATGAGATAATCATACAGATTGTAGCCTTCCTGAGGGTTGGATATGCTGATCTTGGATGTTCCACCTCAGCCGAGAGAAAGGTCATGTATTAAATCAGCAGATTAGGCTTACCGCAAGTGTAACAGAAAACTTATACATCCACAATGGATGAGTGACATGTGTGTCGCAACTTAATTGTATAACCTAATTCTTCCACGTGTCAATAATCTAATGGTCGGTGTGTAAATTATTTATACCGGCAGTGGATCTAATAAAAGTCCTAAATCAAACGAAGCATTATAACATGCCGAAACCGACATAGATCAAACAACAGTAGTTTAATTGCACATAGTCAGTGTTAAACCAGTGTTAACACTAGTCAAGGTCAATTCAAGGTGCTAAAATGATCAAACTATATTAGGCATTTTGCCGCATAGATTTCTCCAATTATCCACAATATTTGCACTCATCACAGGCATACTTTAAATAGTCAACGGAATTATGGCCGCATCCATTGGCATGACTACGAAATGCAGGAGAGCACATAGGCAACGTAGAGAGGGTAAAATGTACCGAAAAGGGAATATCCTAAGGAATATTACCAACTAAAGTACAAGAAATTTTTTAGGCCAAAAAAAAAAAAAGTACAAGAAATTTTTCCACGGAAAAAGAAAAAGTACCAAGAAATTCAAGGGCTTTCAAGGCCCACGAGGGTCGACGCTAGTGACAATGCATGGCCCACTCTTGAGCAGATCCTGTGTCTATCCCTTCTGAGGTTGACACTTTGGATGTCCACATTATGATCACATAATAACCAATTTTATATCTCAAGAGACCTCGGTGATTGGATCAAGATTTGCAGACATGTCAATTTTATCTAATCACCCATTAATTTAAGCAAACGTGTGCTAATTGCTGGATGAACTGAATTCACCACAAGATTCACCAGCTAAAAACCCCCCACACAACCTTCTGCAATCAAATAAACCCAAAAGAGTTCATCATCATCTTGTACCCAAAACATCAAACAAAGATGCAGACAAAATTGGAGAAGAGGCAAAAAAGAAGATCTGATTTCATCCAAAACATCGGCAGACAGAGGATTAGGAAGGAACGTTAAAAGGAAAAAGAAAAGAACGCTCCTTTCGGAGCGAAACCAACATTGAGAAAAGAAAAATCGAGCAAAAGAATCAGAAACAACACGGGGAAAAACAGACACTTTTCTCGTCAGAATCATAATTAAATGCAGGCGAAGTGGGGAAAAAAAACGGAAAAATTTTACCTGAGAAGCTGTTCTTGAAGGAACGACTGGAGTGATCGAGTCGAGAAAGCATTGCAGATTAGGCGGGTCACAGCCTCTCGAAAACGCCATTGAAGCTTCCAAATCAAAGTCCATCTCGAACGCTCCCAGCGCAGCACCGAGGGCGGCCGCTCCGACGGAATTTAAGAGGGGGCCAACGCTTTTAGAAAATCAGCCCAAGCGACGACTTTGACACACACCCACTTGACTTTTCACCAACGTGCTCTGTTCCGAAAAGGGCAGGGGGAGCTTCAAGGAGCAAGAAAATAAAGCGAGAGGATAATTTCCATATTCGCAGACGCACGAAAAGTTCACGCAAAATCCCAAAACAAGGGGCGCTAGCGAAAAAGGAGGGGAATTAAAGAGGGATATCGGGGAATCAAGGGGACAGGAGGATCACGGAAAGGCACGCACCACCGCCATCTACAGAACGTCGGGGCAGGAAAAAAGAGAGCAACCCACGAACCCCTCCTCCACGTAGAGTCTTATGAAAACAGAGCCTCCGCAAGCGTCAGCGACGTGGTCGCGCAATGGGGGGGAGTTAAGGAGCAGATATGCTTCACTTCATTAATCGCCCCGGGATCAGTTAATGGAAGCAGAAGAGGGTGTGTGTGAAGTGAAACGCTCGATGCTGACTAAGCACACGCAGAGAGAGAGAGAGAGACAGGGATGAATGAAGAAGAGGGGAATCTGTGGGAAACGGATAAGGGTGAAAAAGGGTGGGGACTTTCCGAGGCTTTGGATTTTCTTCCTCCTTAAAAATCAGAACTTTTGGGTTTACGTTCTGCGTGCTGCTCTCTGCATATTTATGCAGCGAATTGAGGGCGATAAGAGAGAGAGAGAGAGAAGGAGGGAGGTGGGAAATGGTGTCGGGGCGGTGAGAGTTCGCCTCGCCGCGTGTTGAGGGAGGCAGAGCGAGCCAGGGGAGAGGAGAGAGCCTTTCTTTCTTTCTTTCTTTCGTCGTTATCTGGTCTCTGTCTTTTTCATTTTCTGACATCGTGATTTTGCTCGACGCATGAGAGTCCTAAGACGAAGCAATTTGACTTCTTACTTAAAGAGGATATTTATTAGTAGTACTATAAATAATGAAGGGGTTTTTCAACAAAAAAAATCAGAGCACTGTAACTTATATACTAGGGCCTACGTCACAAAAATATATATGGACAATTTTGGGTCGCATCAAAAGAACATGATTTTGGGGTATTGCTTGAAAAGACACCAATGTTCATCCGCAAGGCGATTTTGATGGCGATCAGAACATCTATCGAGAGGTGGCAGAAGGATGCCGACATAGAAATTGGGGTAAAGGAGAGAGTGAATTAGGGACTAGCGTTCTGCACACTGCATATGATCGAAGCACATTCACTAAATAATTTCGCCTCGATTCGAGTATATTTAACTCTTTTGCTCGCTGGAAACCTTGATGGTTAACTGAAAAACGACGTCGTTCTGCTTGTTTAGCGGGAGTGGGACTAATGTCGTTTAAAGCGACTCTAGGTTATCATTAGTTCGGTCAAAAAAAGACACTATTTTTGTTCTATGTAATTCTACTCGTATGGGCCATGTCAGCATCCGTTTCCACATTAGACTCTCGATATGCATGTTTGAATGGTGATTCTATCGTTAATGCCTTTCGATACAACATTTGAAAGTTAGGGTCAAACTATGGGTAAAAGTTGATACATTTCTTTATGGAAAACCCTACTATGCGATAGACGTAATGGTGAGAACGGGCTTCCTTAAAATTGAGATCGTATAGCTTATTTAATGCAAAATTATCTCATTGTCGTCAGATGTTGTTGATGAGAGGTTTCTTAAATATTTTTATTTTTCTATGTCAAAGACGTGTTCCGACTAAAGTTGTGTATAGCTCAAAATTGAGCAATCAGTTTTTTTCGGGAGCCGGCTATAGCAAAAAAATTAAACTCGACGGATGAGTCAACTTGTTTTATAATCAAGCGATTCAAGACCCAATCGCTAACATTACGAAATCACATGAGGGATGATCCCAATGAATCAAGATCGCACGTGTGCTTTGTAAAAATTCGATCTCGATAAACAAATCGCATTTGAATATTTGGGGAAAATTCATCACGTCGGAATTTTTGTAAACTAAGAGTGCGTTTGGTAACTATTCTGTTCATGGAAACAATTTCTGCTTAGAAATGATTTTTTTTATTCCATTCCCGAAAATAATTTCTAAGCATTTGAAGGCGTTTGATAACGGCTCAAAATTTCCATTTCTGGAATAGAAAAAGAACAAAAATGCGTTTGATAACGGCACAAATTTTATAATATTTCTTTCTTTTTATTCTTTTTTTCTTTTCTTTTTTCTTCTTCCTTCTTGGCCATGGCAGGTGACTGGCCACAAGCTAAGGCCGGCGAGGGCTGGACCCTCGCAGCCTGGGCGAGGGCCACCCTCACCGGATCTAGCGAGGGCTGCACCCTCGCGATCTAGGCGAGCGGCGAGGGCTGCCCTCGCTGGCCTTTTCCAGCCCTCACCCGAGCCGGCGAGGGCTGCCGTCGAGGGTTGTGGCCTGGGCGAGGGCAGCCCTTGTCGGGTCGGGCGAGGGGTGGAAAAGGGCGGTGAGTTAAAGAACAGATATGCTTCACTTCATTAATCGCCCCGGGATCAGTTAATGGAAGCAGAAGAGGGCGTGTGAAGTGAAACGCTCGATGCTGACTAAGCATACGCAGAGAGAGAGACAGAGACAGGGAGAGAGACAGGGATGAATGAAGAAGAGGGGAATCTGTGGGAAACGGATAAGGGTGAAAAAGGGTGGGGACTTTCCGAGGCTTTGGATTTTCTTCCTCCTTAAAAATCAGATCTTTTGGTTTACGTTGTGCGTGCTGCTCTCTGCATATTTATGCAGCGAATTGAGGGAGATAAGAGAGAGAGAGAGAGAAGGAGGGAGGTGGGAAATGGTGTCGGGGCGGTGAGGGTTCGCCTCGCCGCGTGTTGAGGGAGGCAGAGCGAGCCAGGGGAGGAGAGAGCCTTTCTTTCTTTCGTCGTTATCTGGTCTCTGTCTTTTTCCCTTTCTGGCGTCGTGATTTTGTTCGACGCATGAGAGTCCTAAGACGAAGCAATTTGACTTCTTACTTAAGAGGATATTTCGTAGTACTATGAATAATGAAGGGGTTTTTCAACAAAAACCAGAGCACTGTAACTTATATACTAGGCCCTTGACCACAAAAACATATATGGACAATTTTGGGTCGATAAAAAAAACATAATTTCGAGGTATCGCTTGAAAAGACACCAATTTTGCATCCGCAAGACGATTTTGATCGCGATTAGAACATCTATTGAGAGGTGACAGAAGAATGCCGACATAGCAATAGGGGTAAAGGAGTGAGTGAATCGAGGATTAAGGTTCTGCACAGTGCACAGGATCGAAGCACATTCACTGAATGATTTCATCCCGGTTCGGGTATATATAACTATCTCGCTCGCTGGAAACCTTGATGGTTAGCTGAAAAACGACGTCGTTCTGCTTGTTTAGCGGGAGTGGGACTAATGTCGTTTAAAGCAACTCCAAGTTATCATTGGTTCGGTCGAAAAAGACGTTGTTTTCGTTATATGTAATTCTACTCATATGGGTCATGTCAGCCGTTTCCACGTTAGACTCTAGGTGCACATGTTTCAACGGTGACCCTATTGTTAATGCCTTTCGACACAACATTTGAAAGTTAGGGTCAAACCGTGGGTGAAAGTTGATACATTTCTTTGTGGAAAACCCAACTATGCGATAGGCGTGATAGTGAGCACAGGCTTCCTTAAAATCGAGATCGTATGTCTCATCGGCATCACATGTTGATGAGAGGTTTCCTGAATATTTTTATTTTTCCATGTCAAAAACGTGTCCTACTATAGTCATATATAGCCTGAAATTGAGCGATGAGCGTTTCTCAGGAGCCGGCTATGGAAATAAAATTAAACTCGACGGATGAGTTGACTTGTTATATGATCAAGCGATTCAAAACCCAATCGTTGGCATTACAAAATCACGTGAGGGGCTATCCCGATGAATCGAGATCGCACGTGCACTTTGTAAAATTCGATCTCTATAAACGAATCGCATTTGAATATTCGAGGAAAATTCATCACGTTGGAATTTTTGTAAACTAAATTTCCTCAAAAAGGATATTTCCCTCTTTGAAGCGCGAGGGCAATCTTGTCTATTCACAATCCCTCTATATCTATCCCGCACTAAGGAGGAGCGAAACTGGCGTTGGTATGGCCGCACGCGGAAATCGAGACACGTGTGTCGAGATCACGAACCCCCTCGATCATCTCCCTCATTAAGTCACGTGGCCTCCCCCTTTTGGAACTATCTCCCCTCTCTTCACAGTTCGCGGTCCTGATTTTTTTCTCTCTTTTTTATTTTATTTTTATTTTATTTTTTTTGGTTTCCTTTGACATCGACAACGCGAGAGCCAAGGACGGACCAAAGTCGTGGAATATATTGTGTACACAAGTGATGTCACGTCGTATATCCATTATCTCGTTCAGTGAGCGAAACGCGTCGCTTTTGGCTCCACCTATCGGAAATTGGCATGGTCTCTCCCCTCTCTCTTCACGTCGCCCCCACCTCGTCGGTCGACTCCATTTCATATTTCCAGATCGCTGCTCATCTCTCCTTCAATTTTTTGTTCTGAGTCGAGAGGGAGAGAGAGCAGTGTGTACGAGGGCCGCCCTTGCCGGCTTGAGCGAGGGCTGGAAAAGGCCGGCAAGGGCGACCCTCGCCTAGGCTGCAAGGGTCCAGTCATTGCCTAGGCTGCAAGGGTCCAGCCCTCATTCTCGCCGGCCCTGGTCTGTAGCCGGTCGCCGGCTGGGAAAGAAGAAGAACAGGAAAGAAGAAAAAAAAAATCTCTTCTATTTCTGATTCTTGTTTCTAGAATCAAGAATCAAATTTTTTATTCTTGATTATATTCCAAAATGATTTTGGGAACAAATTTGTGCCCAGAAACAAAAAATTTACCAAACAGATTTCTGTTCTTTTTTTGTTCCCGAGAACAAAAGAATAGAATCAATCGCTATTTGGCAAATTACCAAGGGTGCGTTTGGCAATCATTCTATTCCCGGAAGCTGATTATGCTCAGAAATGATTTTTTTTTATTTCGTGCCCGTGAACAATGTCTAAGCATTTGAAGGCATTTGGCAACTACTCAAAATTTCTATTCTTAGAATAGAAAAAGAACAGAAATGCGTTTGCTAACTGCATAAAATTTCTTTTTATTAATAATATTTTAATAATATTTTGAATTTTTTTATATTTCTTTCTTTTTTTTTCTTTCCCTTCCCCTTCCTTGGCCATGGCCGGCGAGGGCATCGCGACCCTTGCCGCCTAGGCAAGGGCGGCTTGCGGCTGGGCGAGGGCCGCTAGCTAGTCATGGCCACGGTTCGGAACCGGCCGGTTCCAGTTCGTGGCCATGTGTGAACCGAAACCGGAACCGCTGGGCGGTTCTGGTTCCGGTTCATAATTTAAAAATTTTAAAAATAAATTATGAAATAAAAAAATAATGAATCATAAAAATATGAAATAATGAATTATTCAATATAAATTACAATCAAAATGAAAATTGTAAGGGTGATCGGTCCCCGGTCGGAACAGGGAACCGACCCGGTAAGACCAGTCCTTTAATTTTAGAACTAGGAACCGGACCGGCAAATCATAGAACCGGGAACCGGACCATTGGTCCAGTGCGGTTCTAGGCGGTCAAATGGAACCCTTTGCTCTTAACTAGCAAAGGATCGTAGCCATAAAAGGCATACAACTTCATATGCTCATGGCTTGGCTTGGGTTTTATAAACAACCCCTTTGATGGTCTCTTCATT